GTTGCACACTACCACCGAGTCAGAGACTCAGACATGAGACATCTGCTGGTGATTAAGGGAATTGCTGGGGTGCATAGCTCCAGATTGTATGGGCCATACAGTTTCATGCTGTGGCCCCCTGAAAGGTAGAGAATCTTGGTGGAGAGTGTCAGTTATGTCAAGTAACATACACAGGTTCCTTAATATCAATCGGTTAAGTTCCAGGCAAACACAACTGAATTGGAAGCCAAGTCTCTTCATATGCTAGCCTCTCCTATCTTCTTCCCTTTGAATTAACAAATTAACATCTAGTCATCTGCCAAAAGAGAGATGTCTGCCAAGCCTAGCTCTGATGACACAAGGAAGGATTTGCAAACCAGAACCAATCAGTCAGTAACTGTTCTGTTCTGATGCCCCCCCACCCATCTTTGAGTGTGGAAATGATTTAGGTTGGAACTTAGGTAGGTAAGATCATTTGTGTCTGCTTATAGTCATAAAACACCTTGATTCCTATTGCTAAAGTTGCTTACCACTTTATCAGTCTGACTTTACACATTAAAATCTTACTATTACATTACTAATTTAACTTTTTGTGGAAGCATATGTAGATAAAAGGAATAGATTTTACATGGATAAGTAATTCAATGATTTTTTTTTCAGATTCATCCATGTGCCTACTACCCCAAATAAGAGAGGATAGATAACTAACACCCAGTAAGCCATATTTTTGTTGCCCTCCGGTAGTAATTATTCGTTTTTGAAATGTTCCTTCAAAAATCAAAACTTGGCTGAGTGCTGTTGGCTCACATCTGTAATTCTAGCTACACAGGGGGCTGAGGTCTGATGATTGTGGTCCAAAGCCAGCCCAGACAGGAAAATCCATGAGATTCACATCTTCAATTAACTGCCAAAAAACTGAAAGTGGAGTTTGTGGCTGAAGTAATAGAGTGCTAACCTTGAGCAAAAATAAATAAATAAATAAAATTTTCAAAAGCTCAGCACCCAGACCCCGAGCTCAAGCCTCAGGACCAGCACACACACACACACACACACACACACACACATTAACTTATTCACTAATATACTTAACATTTCTGTACACCTATATATTTCACGTGTACGTTAAGATTATATATTTTATCACAGATCTTTAGCAGCTCTGTGATAGTTACGCTTGATGGTCAGGATGACGGGATTTAGAAATGCTCCTTGGTGTGATTGTAAAGTGGTTTCCAGACAGGATTAACTAATGGGAAAGCCTGACTTGAAAGCCTGTGTGGCTGCACTACCCCCATAGACTGAGGACCCAGGTGGAATAAAAAGGGGAAAGAAGCAAGACCATTATTAAAAATGTTTCACTCTCTCTGTGTCCTGCCTCCTTCCCCAGCTGCTCCCCCAACCTTGACGCCCTGCCTCAGCCCAGGCCTTAACTAATGGAAACAGCTAATGGAAGCTGACACTTCTGAAACAGTGAGCCAGAATAAATCTTTTTCCAGTTATTTATGTCAGATAATTTGTGATCTCAATAGAAAAATTAATGTAACAGCTAGTATCAAGTACAAACAGAAAATAACACATTATCACCTAATGAAAGTATTCAAAACACTACTTTTGGCTGGAAGATATCTGCAATCACACACTTAGGAAGTAGAGGCAGAAAAACCAGCAGTTTCAGGCTAGGTTGGAGCTACACAGCAAGAACCTGTCTCTAAAAGCAGACAATTATAATAACGAAACTTTTACCTTAAGACTTATTTAATCTTACCAATTGGATTTCTTTCTTTGGAAATATAGTGCTACTCTCATTTTGTGTTAGTTCTCAATAATTGGTGAGCTTGCTTCATTCAAGAGAAAAAAAACAACATTGAAATACCAAAATAAATACAGCTTCTGATATCCTTGTTTTTCACATATAGAGGTGAAATCTTCAAAGTTTTGAGAATAAGGACTTTTCCACTAATACAAGACTGTCCCATAAATGGAAGAAAATGCTGCATGTGTGCAGTATGAACCACAACACAAACAACAGCAAAGCAGCAGTGATTTCTGTTCCTAAACAAATAACTACCTTCCATCCCCTTCTATCTTCCTCCCACCTATTAGTTAACACCCCCCCCAAAACAATCTTGTTTATTTTTATAACTAAATTTCACTTAAATCTAAATGTCATACATGAGCAAAACCTTGCAACAACTGACTTTCTGAGCTTGGCTTGTCTGGTTAACATGATGTTCTCAGTCCCATTCATTTTCCAACAAACTATTATGTAGCTGCATGCAATAAAGCATGCTGAAAAAAATGGAGGAAGGAGAGGATGTAAGAAAAGGGTTGAAGAAAGAGTCATAGTCAGGGCACTGATATAATCTACATACAGTGTAAGTATTTAGGCAAATATTAAAATGAAACACCTTTGTAAAATTTAAGCTAATTAAAAGGGAAAAGATAAGAAATAACTACCCTGTGTGAAAAGAAAGTTTCAGGTATGGAATATATTGTTTAAAACTTGTGGCATTTATCATGTTAACAAAAAATGATTTTTTTTGCCACAGCATGTTGTTTAGAGGAGTAGCAAGAAAGTCATATATTAAACTGAAAACATGCTTCATTTTCGGTTTGTATCTAAAGACGGCATTTATATTTTGGAAATATTGAGACTTTTTCAGTTCATCAAATCTTACCAATTATTCAGTTTGGATTCGACAATCCCACAGGCCCACAAAATTTGATATTGGAAGCTTCCCTTCTATCTCTGTATATTCCTAGATTCCTGAAAATCTGTTTCAATGTTTTTCATTATTATTTGCAGTGTAAAACTTTTAAAATCAACTATCACTTTGGAGGTTGACACATTTAACTACATAATTTATTTTTTTCCTACTAGCTTTCCATTATAAGTCAAAAGCCTTTGAACTTATGATTAGACTCCATAGCCTGAAGGTTGTGAGTGTTTTTCCAGAAGGTTTTCAAGTTTTTTAATGTCTGCCTCCTCTACTGGATTCTGTTCAAGATTTTCTAATGGGAAGCATACTTTGAATAGCCTTGATTCCACATTTTTAATGTTATTTTATTTTATTGCTCTTCCTTAACTAAGAGCACTTACAACCAACATATTTTAAAGGTTTTATATTTGGTAATATTTTGTTGGTTCTTTGTTTCCTGTTATAATGGGCTTTCAAAGATTAAGCAAATGTGCAGATTTCCCAAATGAACACATCTTTACAGGGGTGTGTGATGTTAGAAATTTCCTGACATTAAATAATACAATGCCAAGTCTGCAGTATCCATTTTGTACCGATAGGAGAAAGATTTCCAGTAAATTTATTTTATGGATGAAACCACTGTTTTATAATAAAACATAAATAGTTTACTATGTAAATCATTCTTAAATATTTTTAATCACATCTGATTTGGATATATGGTCTATATTGCAAATGATACTGCAATAGTATAATATTAGAAGTTGACTCATTATTATTTAAAAAAAGTTATTCTACATTAAATAAACAACTTTTTAAAAGTTGCCTTTGACTCATTACAAAAAGAAGTTGTTGTTCAACAAGGCAGTTTATGAACACAATGCATCTGATTTACCCCTTTCATCATTCTCTCCAATCCAACCCAAGCCCACTCCTACTCTTAATTTTCTTAATTTCATAGGTTATGCATTGGATTTCATGAGGGCATTCTCCTTCCCTTCCTCTCTTCATTTGTCTGCCTCTTCCTCTTGACCCTACTCTCTCTTTCAAGTACCTATTTCCTAGTGTTTATTTTATTCAACCATAAGTTAGCTTATATTTTTCCTCCATTTGTAGTTACAGTCATACATTGATTAAATGAACATGTCTGACATGTTTTACAAAAAATAATGTCACATTTTAGGCTTAGTTATATATAACACTGGATCTTGATCCCCATGTTTCCTCTGTATTTCCAGGCGTTTACTTGATATAATGTATTCCCACACTTAAAATTCGGTCATTCTCCCTGTTCTTAGCTCTCTATTTTCCATCTCCCTTCTAGTTTGTATTATTAATCCAGGTCTCTTTTTCTTCCTTTCTCCCCACCCACTCAACCTAAACACCCACTGAAATCGCCAGTTCTGCTCTTCAGGAGTTTCTCAGAATTAGTGCTTTCCCTCACTTCCCTTCAGAACTACTTTGGCTTGCCTTATGTCTCCTCAGAGACCACTTGGCTCCCTTAGCTCAAAAGTCATTCTTAACCCACACTTATCCCCACAGAAGTTCACACCCAGACCTGTTTCCTGCCTTTCCATTCCCCATTCCATAGCAAAACATTTCTTTGGAAAGTGCAGCTAAGAATCTCAAAAAGCAAATTCAGTGAACCAGTGCCTTAAGAGGGGTTCTTATGAAAAGAAAATTTTACAAAACTATGGTAATACCGAAGTACATTTTGGTCTGTGACTAGCTGATTGCATTTTCATTTGTAATCAGGAAGTTCTGCCAAGAAACTGAACCAAGCTTCTTATGACAGCACACATCACCTAGAATTGCGAGCTTTTACAGAGTTCTTCCGAATAACCCCTGATAATTGTGACAGGAAGTTCAATGGTGTGTGCAATTGTCTGTAGTCACTACAAAGCATGTCATGATAATAACGGAAGGCAACCCATCAGAAAGTAATGTAAGAGCTATTGCTTTCTCAACTTTTCTAGTTAGGTCATTATCCTAAGGAAAACGTAATAATTTGGTATATAAAAATAGGAATAGTAGGAGAAAAATGAGGGAGGGGGTAACAAAGTTCAACAATTGTACTTACTACCTTACTCATGTAACTGTAACCCCTCTGTACAGTATTTTTACAATAAAATAAAATTCAAAAAAGAAGTAGGAAAAGAATAGCTCAGACTGCCTCCACATAAATTTCAAAAGTAAACTTTCATTATCTTTACTTGCAATCTAATATACTACTATAATTTTATATATATTCCATAAGTGTTGCTGAATACCTTCGATGTACCAAGGACATTTCACAAATTACCAAGAATCTCATTTACAACTTACCATGGGCCATGCGATGGAACCAATAGTAGCCAAAGTCAACGCTTAGGAAGGTTAAATACCAAGTCCAGGATGAATCCCAGGGTAAATTGAAGAGCCTGTAGTTCTCCCAGATGTATATGTAACTGGTCATTTCAATGCTCCTGAAGAATAGACTGGAAAATGAAATTCACAAGTAATGGATATAACACAATCTGGAAATGCATCATTCAGCTGAAATGCATTAGGTAACATTTTAGAATAAATATATCTGTATGGGAAAATTAAGTTCCTTTGTGATTCTAGGTTTCTTCCTGATCTTCCATGCATTTTCAAACTCACTCTCTATAGTATCAGAAAGATTCTTTAGGTTTCTCCTTTTGTTTCTTGGGCATCTGGGGACCAGTTGTTTCCATTCTCTGTTGCAAGGCGTAAAAAAAATGAAAAAGTACTAGTTTTAAATATCATTTACAATGCTATTTAGGGAGACCATACAAAATAAACCTGATGAAAACTACATCTAATTTTCCGAAATTTTCATTTGTAATTTGTAATAAAGGATGGAGTAGAGACTGTTTCTAAAGGATGTGTAAAAACAGAAAATATTTTTGGTGTATTATTAAGGGCCATGAAAATTGCTTGTTGATTTTAAGTGTGTTTATCCCCCAAATTTTACCCTCAGCTACTTCCCAATTCTATTGTTTATCCTTCTTCTCCCTCTTCCCTCACTCTTTTCTCACACATATATCTGCAGTGTTATTTTGCTTCTGTACTTATGATCTTGTATTAGATTCTCATAACATTTCAAAATTTCATGTAAGACATGAACTAGAGCTTCTTCTATTTAGGAAATTACTATTCTATAAATAAGTTATATAAATCTACTGAAAGTAAGAAATTGTTTTTGAACCATAGACACTAGGCCATGCTTTACCACCTGTTCTATCAATCTGGTATAAAACCTTATTTAAATAAATTTGAAACGCATACATGCAATACTCTACAAATTTTTGAAATTTTACAATTAAATTTTAGCTCAAGTTCAGGGAAGCACTGTTCTCTCACTTGTGTAGATTTGATTTATTTGATTTTTCTTTCTACATTTATTTTTATTTATTTTATTGTTAAAATGCTGTACAGAGGGGTTACAGTTACCTGAGTAAGGCAATGAGTACATTACTTGTTGATCATTGCTACCCCTTCCCTTCCTTGTTCTTGTCCCACTATCCCTCTCCCTCCCCCCCCAAAGTTGTAAAGTTCATTTCCAGTAATACTGTCCTGTGGGTATCCTTGTTGCAATGGGTCATCCTGTGTCTACATTTATTTTTAAATGGAAATTAATCATTTTAACTAGTAAAGGTATCATTATAAGTCAGCAACAAGTTTGCTGCTCAATATTAAATGAAAATTTTAAGTATCATCATTTGAGCTAAAGGTTAAAGAAGCAACTCAGATAGTTATTATGTAAATTCCTCATTTCAGTAGTAAATCTCTTCCCAGAGCCACTTTCTGTGAATTAGTATTGCACTGGGTCATTTGGAGATCCTGGTCTGTAAGTTGAGTTTTCTTATAATGTAACTTTAATTACATATTTAAATATCCTCAAATAATTTAAATGTTTCAAGTTCTTATTTTAACATGCAAAACTAAACACTAGATTACTTCAAATAGCATTTTAATATACATAACTTAAGAAATTATTAATATTTATCATTTTGAGCAGGAATATATATAGAACACCTTATCTTAAAACTTAATGTGAAATGTAATATGAAATTACATGGTAGGAAATTTTATCTCTCAATTCAAGTTCATAGCCCAAGGGAATTATTTAACTTAGACCTTACCATTATCTCCACCTGAGCATATTAGGGAGTACTATAGTCCCCTGCTAAAGTAGCTTACAGCTCTCCCATTGGAATTTTTCTTGTCATAGCCTTCCGGAAGGTAGACCTTTGCAGGTGTGCAAGCTCCTAGATGTGTCAAAGTATCAAAAGTGGCTGATTGAAATATGTAGATAAGCAAAGCTGAGGCAAGCAATCTGGATTAATCTACATTGTACGGGAAATCCTACTTGGACCAAGACAAGCCATAGCCAGGGGGGCCCTTCATGTTTTGTAAGTTCAAATAATTTAAGAGCTAAACCTTTCAACTTGAAACTTGTTGCCTTCTAACTTTTTTTCAAGGATATTCATCAACATAGGTGGGAGGTAGATTATCTTTATTTTAAAGATGGTCAGCTTTGTTGGTAACTCACACATTTAGACTAGAATTACTCAACAGTGACAGTACTGAGATTGAGGTAGGATGATTATTATAGGAGGTTATCTCCACAACCATTTACCCAAACAATGCAATTTAAACTTTCTGTCTGCTGTTTATTAATGAATTATAACTCATATAAAACTAACTTTATAGGTTAAAATTATGAGTAGCATCAATGTTGTCATGATTCAAACTAATAATTTCTCTGAAACAAGGATAGTTGCTATTTTAAGCCATGGAATTCTTCAAATTGAGGGTCTGTTCTATGCATTATAGATTATAAAGCAGCATCATTGATTACTAGCTACTTGATTAACACCATTTCTGACAAACAGAAATGGATATTACCAAGTGTTTCTTGAGGTACTCAGTATACTACCTAGTCATCACTTCTTAAAAACAAAGGTTCAGAAGGGAAAAACATAAAAAATTCAACAGAATGTTAAATTAAAGGTTGTAGATTATAGGTGCTTATGTATGCTTTAATACCTGCTATTGAAGCAGATCCTTCCTTGAATTAATTCAATTATTCAACTAATTCACAGTAGGATCTTCGAAGTCTCAGGTAAGGCTCTGATACCATAGCCATAGATGCCCTCCCCTCAGCATTCCATCAGGGGTCATTTCCAGTGACAACTGAAAAACTAACATTAAGATACCAAACCCTCCGTTTCCCTATGAATGGGCAATATCATTATTTCTGGTGAAAACATAGAATTCCATTGAGTATGTACACCACATTTTCTTGATCCATTGGTCCACTGAAGGGTATCTGGATTGATCCCTTATCTTAGTTATGGTAAACAGTACTGCAATAAACATGGTTGTGATGGTGGCTTTAGTATGTCCTGGTTTGTGGTCATTTGGATAAATGCCCAGGAGTGTGATTGCTCACTAAACACTATGTTGGTAATGAACTATTCAACTTATGGGGAAGGGGTCAGGAAGGGGAAAACTGGGATAAAATGAGGGAAGGGGGGGTGACACTGTACAAAAAGAAATGTATTCATTACTCCTTGTGTAACTGTAACCCCTCTATACATCACCTTTATAATTACAAATGATACCAAGACCTCAATAAAAATATGGCTTCTGAAAATTTTCCTCTTTGACATCTCACTTATTAGGGTTGACACAAATAGAACTGGAATATGCCTGACATACTAACAGTCAGGCTTTTCTGCTTTTTTCTTTTATTTACTTATTTTTTTAATTGTGAAAATACCATACAGAGCGGTTACAATTACATGGGCAAGGTAATGAGTATGTTTCTTATCAAACATCGTTGTCTCCTCCTTTGTTTTCCCTTACCATCCCTTCCCATTTCCCCCGACCCCACCCCGTGCCAAAGTTGTAAAGTTCGTTTTTCGACATAATGACTTGTACATCTTATTGTTGCAATGGGTCCACCTGTATCACTGTTTAAACTATTTGCTTTTCCCTTCCCCTCCGCAAATTATATCAACATCAAATACAGTGAAAACAGGGGTTATATCGTGGGGGAGGGACATACAAAGCAATAAGGAAATAATCTTATAAATATGATAAATATGTTAGAAACAATATCAAGAAAGAAAAACCATTTGAGTCCTATCTTGGGGTTCCTTTCACCTAACATCAACTTATCTGACCATTTCTGCTTGTCTCAGACATATACTAAGCCATCCATAACAGGAAATCGAGCCTACTTTTCCAAAAATATTCCCCTTATTAAAAACCTCTTCTCTTTCCAATTCCACCATCCACTTTCCTACCCTAAAACCTTAGCATATGACTACACTTTGGAATTCAAACTTAAACTCTGTAAATCCCTCTCTTGGGGAAGAATCATGTATAATTTGTATGCATATATATAGAAAGCTTCCTTAATCCTGTGTAGTTGGAACATTGGAGAGCATGAGGACTAGGGATTATAAATGCTAGATTGCTTTTGTGTACTCAATTTGGATGTGAGACCAAGCAAATGATATAAACATAAAGAATCATTAGAACCCCCTGACTACCAACTGGTGATTTGTGATACAGATTTCCCTGCATTGACATATTTCCTTCATGAGTCTACAAAGTGACTTATTCAGGATAGAAATATATTTTTTTGAAATTAAAGTTAGCTCATTTCTCTACATAGTAATAGGATATGTTTCATGTAACAGTTTCAATCATCAATAGAAATGTGTCACACCAAAATTATATAGTTCTATATAGTTATATTAGTTATATATAAAGTTCTGGTAAAGTACTAATTTGCTATATATTACTAACTTTGTCATTTTCCTCAAAGAAATAAAATTCATTTATAATGTTGTGATTGAATATAACAAATAAATTACAAATACATATTATTTGGCAATTGAGAACTACAAACTTAATAATTTTCTAAGGCATTTGAGTCTGAATCTACTCACCATCCAGAGTAGAGACTGGACAGGGAATTTAGCCTTTCAGTATTTCTAGGTTTAATTTAGAATCACAGAGTACTAGGCAGAATGGACACTATAATTATCCAGCTTTCAAATACTGTCATGATGTAATCATTTTAAAAATGAATGGAGTTTAATGTACTTCTCGCACTGAAAATTATTAAAACATCAGAGACTTTTAATGTAAATAGAATCATGGAACAGATCAAGACATCTACCAATTTAAACCACTTAATCACTCTGGTTCTGGATAGCCCACCTGATTTGTCCAGATTATGCAAAAGTAGTGAAGGTGAATTAGATATTTTTATTTCAGATACCATTTGTTATCAGTCAGAAAATTAATGAGACCATTAAAGAACATTCTTTAAATCTCCATGAAGTTATAGAAAAATAAATGTACAAGAACTCATGCAGGTATCATTTTTTGAGAAATTTTGCTCTATATTTATCTCAAAAATATCTTTAAAATGACCCAAGCATCTTATACC